TATCTATGGTATTCAGCTTTGTTCGGGTATTTTCCCACGTCATTATAGTTGTGCTTTTAAAGTTGTAGCAACGTTTCGGCAGAAATGTTGCTACAATACATACATACATACATACATACATGTATGTATGTATGTATATATATGTATATATATGTATATATATGTATATATACCGTATTTGCCGGCGTATAAGATGACTTTTTTGCCCTGAAAAACATGCCTCCAAGTGGGGGGGTCGTCTTATACGGCGAGTATATAACAAAGGTCGTCTTATACGCCGGCAAATATGTTGTTGTCACTCGGTGCAAGAGCGACAGGGGCGGAGCTCCGCAACTTGCGAAGCCCCTTCAAGCCCAGCCGGAGTCTCTCTTCCTCCTCCTCCCCCACCCACCCACCCACCCACTCCGCTCGTGTGAGCGGACAGGCAGGCTCCAGGCTTTGCCCCCATCCCTCACCTCCTTCCATCCCCCTCCACCCCCCCCCACCCAGTGGCAGAAACTTCGCCGCACGTGGGGACGAGTGGAGGGGGTGGGAGAGCAGCGACGCAGCTCAAAGCTGAGAAAGCGCCATCCTTGCTTTTGTGCTTCGGGAAGAGTTCGTGTTTTTTGTTTTTCTCCCAGGAATGGGATGCTGCTCGTGCGATTTTCTTTGGGAATTTTTCTCTTCCCGGTTTCAGCCTTTGCTCCGAATCCTCCCCCCCCCCATTCACTTCTGGAAAGGATGCTTGTGTAACTCTTTTCCTAAGCGTTGCTGGGGTGGAGGGGGGGGCAGTGTGCAGCGTGAGCGAGAGGCTCTTTTCCTTTCTCCCTGAGCGCAAAACCGTCTGCCTTCTTCTCTCTTGGACGGACCGAGCAAGGCTAATAAGATAATAATAAGATAATAAGATAAGATCCTAAGCGCGTTGTGGAAACAGATCTGGATCTCATTGGAGAAAGGTAGCAAATGAATGAACTGGACTTTTGGCAAGTCTCGGGGTAGGAACTCGACGCTTTCTGGAAAGTTAGTGAGCAGGAAAATAGACATCCTTTCCGCTTTCTCCCAGCGTGGGTATTTCATTATCCCTCCCTGTAAGAAGTAACAACCACAAAGCCAAGGGAAAAAACGATGCGCAGGAAAAAGCCACAGTAGGAAGCAAAGATTTCTCCCCCCCCCCCACCCTCTCTCTCTGAAATAATTAATGTCGCAATCAGTGTGGTGCACCCTTGGAGACAAATTGGTTGGGGAGGTGGAAAGATATTAAGAAACAACTCGACTGTTTTTCGTCCAGTTTTATTTTTATTTATTTATTTTCCCCTGAAAAAAGCAGATCGCAAAGAAAGGGAGAGGAATTGAGTGCCAGCCTGAGAAAGGCGAAGCTGCCTCTCTAAAGCATTTTGGTGGCTTTGTAAGTTTGGGGGAAAGGGACGGGGGTGTCAATCAAGAATTATATCCAGAATACCCCAAGTGTTACAACTTACCGTATTTGCCGGCGTATGACTTTTTTGCCCTGAAAAACATGCCTCCAAGTGGGGGGGTCGTCTTATACGGCGAGTATATAACAAACTCTATATTTTGAGTGGAAATGTTGGGGGCTCGTCTTATACGCCCAGTCGTCTTATACGCCGGCAAATACGGTATACACATACATACATACATACATATGATCAAGATTCAAGAATAACAAAAAGCAAAATAGTTAACAAGAGGAAAATTAAACAGTTCTTTCACTGATGAAACAATACCTGGATCAAAAATATAAGGCTCTTCAATCTGTTCTTGAAAACCTCCAGTGATGAAGTACCCACAACTTCTGATGGCAAGCTGTTCCACTGGTTAATTGTCTTCACTGAATTTTCTCCTTAATTCCAGGTTGCTTCTCTCCTTGATTAGTTTCCATCCATTGTTTCTTATCCTGTCCTCTGGTGCTTTGGAAAATAACTTGACCCTCTCCTCTTTGTGGCAGCTTCTCAAATACTGGAATACTGCTATCATATCCCTCTCAATCCTTTTCTCTAGACTAGCCAAACCCAAATCCTGCAACCCTTTTTCATATGTTTTAGTCTCCGGGCCTTTAATCCAAACTACATCAAATTGTATAAAAGCCAAAACTTATTATTTTAAAGCCTCTAATTCAAATTACAATTTGAAAATGTTCTTCTTAACTATGAATGATTGTTTCTCATACTTCTAAAATGCAGTATGGAAATGTGATGTAAGAAATACTGAAGCCCTGCAGGAAGGTTGGGTAAAGTTTAAAAGGCAATTTCTGATAGGATGATTTGAATGGCCAAAGTTAGTAGGTAGCTATGTTTTTACTCCTACCATTAAGGAAGTCACGTTGGGTCTCCAAGATGAGGTTGATGTCAGTCACCCAGGCTTGGGCAATTTCCGGTGTTGCTGCCTGCAGTACATAACGGACGGTGCCCCGTTCTGCGCCACGAGAGATCAGTGCAAATTTGCAGGGATCATTGTCCACACAAGGCTCCAGGCCCAAACTGCTTAACTGCAAGAGAAATTGATGGTGGATCAACCTAGTGTTGTGACTGCAACTGAGACAGATTATACACTTGATTAAATAAATAAAGATAATTAAGTGAAATTGGCCCAAGCATAATCCAGACCACATGAATATGATCTTTTCCTAAGCAACAATGTAAAAAAGCAAGAAAATTACATGAATAAAATAGAGAGAGTAAGATATTTAACAATCAAGCAAATACAAACCTTTACTTATTTTTGAGAGTAGATTTAGACTTAGCTTATTCCAATTCACAAAACATAAAACATGTGCCATACAGTGATATATTGCAAGGGTTTAAAGTACTGTATTACAACCCCAGTTTCATCATCTTTTTAGTTTTTGGCTGCCCATACAGAAATTGTATGGCTTTCTGGTTATACAATTATATCCTGATGCAAACAGAAGTTACATTCATTGATTGGCATAAGGCATGGAAATCAAACAAATATTAATGTTTTCCCCATTAGGTTTGCAGCATAAAGAATTCCTTAGGTTCTTTATTTTTTGTTGCCCACATATTCTCAAATTGCAGCTATAAGTCCAGAATCCAGACATCTGCATATATCAAGGAGAATATCAAATTTACTATGTGGTATTATGGTATACAAATGCACAAGGCCCCTGCAGAAAGATGGGGCATCCAACTTTGGATATGAAAGACTTCCATTGTAAAGTCCCTTATGAGTAAGTGCCAGATGCTTATATGTATCTCAATTCCCCACTGTTAACTCTGGAATACCTTGATGCTGCTCTTAAAGGCATATGTTGGGGCAGCATATGGACCACGCCTTCGCTCCAAGGTCTCACTTAGGATGACAATTTGCTCAAAGAGAAAGATGCGACGCTCACGAGCCCGGGCCAGGATCCCGCCTGCCTGCTCTATCACCCAAAAAGTGTTCTGCTGCAGCAGCTTCCCTTGTGAAGTCAGCTTCCCCTACAGAAAAAAAAGTAAGCTGCAATTTATCCAATTGTCTAAACGGCATAAAATTACCTTACTATGAGAACTTAGTGTTAGTAGGGTCTAGCACACCCTTATAATGCTGCTGTATGTCGAAGGTTCTTTCCCATCAAAATGGTAGCTTTCCCTGTCAATAATTTTCTAAAATGTAGCTTGGGAGAGCATTCAGATAACAAATAACAGATAATCAGAGTTGGAAGGGACCTTGTAGGTCATCTAGTCCAACCCCCTGCCCAAGCAGGAGACCCTATACCATTTCTGACAAATGGCTGTCCAATCTCTTCTTGAAAGTCTCAAGTGATGGCGCTCCCACAACTTCCGAGGGCAAGCTGTTCCATTGGTTGATTGTTCTCACTGTCAGAAAGTTTCTCCTTATTTCCAGGTTAAATCTCTCCTTGTTCATTCACATATGCCACTATAGTTAATGTGGCAGTTTCAACAACTGCATCATCAGACATTTCAAAACATCTATCTTAAATCTTCTTTGGTCAAAATGTCTCTAAATCTTGCCCTCACCTCCCACTCTCCCACCTCCCAGTAATATCCTATATTTAAAGCTCACATTCCCAAGTAAATCTGTATTGAAGTTGAGATCCTTCAGAAATAAACAATTAAGACCCTTCCTTGAAGATTGTACAACCTTCCTATCACTGTAAGACTGAAGTGATGATAGAGGTCAGGGAGGGTGTAAAAAGAGAATAGTTTCAATGCTGTCTACCATACTGAGCTAGCTAATCAGAAAAATCAGAGCTAAGAATCTCCAACCAGACATTGATCCTCAGAATTTACCTCAAAGCCTTGAAGACGTCCCACATTCATCATGTCATTGCAACGTTTGGGAACAAAGCACATAACGTCTACAGCTTTCTGAAATTCAAATGTGGAGAAGGAAGCTAGAAAAGATGTACTGGATTCTCCAAGCCCAATTGCCACTGGATATATCAATTTCAGGGCTCATCAGTGAAGTATACTAAAGCTGTTAACCTTTTATTCTTCATCTTAAACTACAAAGGCGAGGGTAAACTGAGGGGAGGCGGAATCACAAAATAAGATTTGCTAGTCATACAGAAGGCTTCACTGGCCTGAGATCTGAAGATACAGTGTATCAAATGTACAATAACTGACCTGGGATGTGGATTGCCCATCTGCCAATTTTCCCACAACTGTCAATCTTGTAAATGCTGGGTGGTATTCCAACCGACCCATATGACTGCAATTCTTCATTCAAAAGCAATAGTGTAATATCAAGACCATTACGTAGGAACAGTGGCTCTATGATAGCTCCCCATTGGTTTCAGCTCCTACCTCCAGCTGTTCCGTGTTCTTCCCAGCTTTGCTATAATACTTCAGGAAATCCTGGAGACAGCAAGAGAAAGAAGGAAAGGAAAGAATAACTGTTTTTATAAGAGAGAGAAAGAGAGCAACATGAGCTAGTTTATGATGAGTGATTAAATTTAGTGTCATCTACTGTTACCATTGTTCTATAGTTACCACTGTTACTATTACCAAGTTATCATTGTTCTATGACTTACCTACATCAGCTTATACCTATTTGGTGTCTCCTTCAAATATGTTGAGAGTATAACTCTGACTGTTTTGCACTCAGGATCTACTGAACCCACAATCCTCTCACAGCATGACCACTGATGAAAGCTACAGTCTAAAGGCTACCAAACGTGGCAAGAGTGACATAAACTCCAACCTCCTTGGAGAAGAGACAAGTCATGACTTAGAACTAAATTGTATCCCATCAAAAGACAGTTGGCAGCATCGGAGCCATTACAAAATCTCACTGCTGTGTATTTTGTTTGCATAAAGGCCAACATTTCCATTAGGCAGGAATCTATAACTGGATCAATTTCCTAACTTTTAAATCAGCTCATGGACATTTGTACACATTCACGAACTGTGCAGAGTTAACGCTATTTGGAGCAATAATATTGAGGATTTCTTTTTTACAACTGAATGCCAATTTTTCAAATCATAATCATACTCATCACATTGTGAATATCTTGACAAAACACATTGTCATATTAATCTTGAAGAAACTTAAAATTAAAATTCTAAAGGTGAACATTTTTTAAAAAAATTGCAAGCTTCTGTATAATTAAACCCACTATTGGATTAGTGTAAGAGAAAATATAATTCTTTCAAAATATCCCCCTCCCTAAATTATGTTCCCAGGGACCTGAGAAACGTTAAAATCTATTAGCTTTGCCATAAAATGCTGAAAAACTTGAATGATATTGATAGATAGAAGATTCTAAAAGATGAAAAAGGCTCAGGGAAGTAAAACCATTAGAAGAAAACTTATATGAATGAAACACTATCTCTTTTCTCAAATACGTTGTCTTTATAGTATTGCTCTCATTTCCTCATAGAATCTAGCCCACAACTGATCTTCCAAAACACCTGATATGTTGCTACATCCAAACAAATACGTGTACTGTTATATCCAATCACATCTACATTCCAATTTGCATAATTTTGTTTAGAGGAGTTGTATCCCTACCCTTTCTATGTTTGTTTATTATAGTACCAGAGGCAACAGAAGCAATCTTGCTTCAACAAAATTATGTGCTGGCTTCCAGTTTAACTGAGCTCTTGGGGAAATCTATGAGTGACTTTTCTCCTAAATAGAAAAAAAAAGAATGTTAACTCAGTGGGGTAGGTACAGGGTTAGGACAACTCAGTGGGGTAGGTACAGGGTTGACAGCAGTACCTAACAGGAAAATGGCCCCAAAGCAGTTTTTAGTTGGAACAACAGAGCAGGAGGGAGGGCAATAATGTTGTAATAATTCCTCTATGGGAACCTGGCTCAGATGGATATCTGCTTATCTGCCTTCTAAGTTGTGTTGCCTGTATTTTTGTAAATAACATACCATTTCAAAAACAAAAAACCTCCAGGGCTCTCTTTATCCAAAGGAAACTAAAACCTGCAGTGCTATCCTTTAAAGGTCTTAGTCAGAAGTCTCCAAACTTGACAACTTTAAGACTTGTGGACTATGCTGCCTGGAGAATTCTGGAAGTTGAAGTCCACAAGTCTTAAAGTTGCCATGTTTGGGGACCCCTGGTCTTAGTATTCGGGGAATTGGAAATATGGCATATACAAAAAGAGGAGAAAGCCAAAGAATATGAGGTAGACCCAGAAGAAGATGGAGAGGCAACATCATAGACACACTACAATGGCATCAACTACTGGTGAGGACGCCACAAGTGGAAGACTCAAAACGGAGGAGGAGGAGGAGGAGGAGGAGGAGGAGGAGGAGGAGGAGGAGG